AATTGGTTTACGTGGAGTTGATTTACACGATAGACTGTCACGGTCTCTATTTGCATACAGAGGGAATATAAATAAAACGACTATGGATAAAGCAGTGAGAGGGATGAAAGGAAGGATGCAAATTAAGTTCCCGGGTGGGATGAAGAAACTTCTTCTTGGACACTGTAAAGGGTGGGAGAGGCTCGAGAGATGTTGTGCCTGCGAAAGAGAGAGGTGGAGGGTGGAGGTGTAGGCCCCTGGGGCGAAGTGGGGCGCGGGGCGGGTGCCTTAATCGCCGTGACGCCGAGGTCTAAGGGCTCAGATGCCATGTCGGAGGCATCGAGGAGGCCCCGACACACCGGCGAGATGGCGCGAAAGCTTGCCAACTCATGTGTTGGCGATGAGGTACGTTGAGTGTGAGTCTGAGATGTAGAGCCCGTGGGCCGTGTCCCCCCAATTGCCACCATGGACCCCGAACGTACTGCTGGCATCGCTATGGGGCGCACACGCTGTGAGGTTGCCAGGAATTCATTTAACAGCTTATCCGTGGTTGTGGTGAAAGCAGAGGTATCGCCGTATCGCAAAGGGTGATGAGATGAACTAGAACAACGCAAAACACACGAGATCAGAACGATTATTGTTAAAATCTAGTGGATGCAAGAGGATGAAGGGAGGAGGGTTAAAGGGTTCTCAATCAAGGAGCAATCTACATGCAGTTTGACAAGGGGGAGGTAGGGTTATATCAAATCTGGCCTTGTGTTTAGTATGAATGATGATTTTTGTTGCTTGAGATGTTCGATGCTGACTGACTGCTTCTTAACCCGTGACAGTACGAGTTCTGATCTGAAGGAAGCGAGGAAGGAAGAAGGGAAAGAGGACCAGACCACCTAGCATTTGAAGCCAACCAATAGGAGTGTCATGGACGATTGAGGTGCCCTCGAATAGTAAAAAACTTGATGGAATTTGGGCACAGATGAGGCCCATTCATAAGAGAAATAAGTGCAACCGGAGGGAAACTCGCTCTTCTGATCACAGGGAAGATGTTGGTGTTGATGGGGTAAGAGGTGTTGATGATCGCCATACCTGCACGTGGGGGGAGGGGATGGGAGTAAGACGCTAACTCAACAAAAAGTGGGCAGGACAACTGGTCTCTATGATACCCCATCAACATGCCACATTGAGGCCAAACAAAAGCGATAAAGGCAAAGGCACGCAAATTCGTGTGATAGGTATGTCAGCACAACGCAAACAGTGCAGTATCAACAAGTGAAGTCCTAAAGAAAAGTTGAAACCTGTGGAAGGAAAAAAGGCATAAAATACCTTATTAGTCTGATGGTACCATCATTCAGTTTTGATTCCGACGAAAAACCCATTGCATTGAAGTATTTAAGAAACAGATATTGCCTCTGGATGTCAGAAGAGGGAAATGTGGTTAAAGAGCAGAGCCTTTAATAAGGGTTGAAGGAAAAGCAGATAAGCCAACAATTAAGTGTCACAAGCTCACGATTAAACATGCAGAAAGCGCATACCTACGGCTATTCAAATTTAGCATACACGGAGAACACTGTACAACAAACTTAAAAGGCATAGTAAAGCAGTGCGGGCACTTGCATTGGAATAAATTTATTGTCGGGGTTCGGACTCGAAGAAGGGTGCATTTGACCTAAAGAAGAAGACAAACCATAGGGCCAAAGACTAACACATATGAGAGAACAAGCATTTGACAGTGAAAAAGAAATATAATTTCGTAAATTAAGCCGGGCTTAAAAAGGAATACACTAGGCTCAAGAATGCTGTTTACATAAGCCGTCTGAGGGGAAGCAATCTGATGCGTCCGGATCCAGAGTAAAAAGTGAGAGTCGCAATGTAGGGATGAGGATAAATTCGATGGCATAAAGAGAAGTGGAACTTACTGAGATCGGCAC